GGGGGAGAGGGAGAGAATCTCAAGCAGACTCCCTGCTGAGCACAGAGCCTGATGGAGGCTCAGTCTCACAACCCTGAGATAATGACCTGAGCCCAAATCAAGAGTCCAAGAGTCCATGCTCAACTGACTGAGCCACTCGGGGGCCTCTATAAATTACCTAGTAGTTACATTAAAATATATTTATTTACCCATTGTATCAAAAATCTTTATCACTTCATGTAATATGGAAGTATTAAGATAATTAACATGCTTTTTCTTGTATAAGTCTTCAAAATCTGTTGTGTATTTCAAATGCCCAATAGCTACAATGTGACTAGCGGGATGTGTTGGACAGCACGTCTGGACTTCAGTAGGGTTTTCTTAGCTCTCCCTTCAGATCGGTGCCCTTGTGAATGGAATGGGTGGTGTGGGGGAAGGACTCCTGGGTGACCCTGGAGAATCCATTTGCACTTGTGTGGTAACTAGTAAGAAGCCTTAGGTTTTGCCATTTCCTGATAACATCACTGGTAGTTATGGATTCAGGATTTAGAGGACTGCAGCCTCCCCAAATGTCTAAAATACCAGCTCACTGTCGGGACCGGGTTCCTACCCTGTGGGAGGACCTGGGCTAAGGAAAGTGCCAAGTTCCAGGGCTGCGGTTTCATGGGGCCCTGGGAGGTGGCCTGTGGAAAGGAGGCATCACCCAAGGAGAGGAGGGTTTCTAGAGAGGGAAGGCCACCCAAGTGGATGCTTCTTGAGGGCAGAGGCACTACTAGGTAGATTCCTGGAAGGCGGAAGCTCTTCTTGGGACCTTCGCCGCCCCGCAGCCGGCCTCACATGCCCGACGAATGAATGCATGTGCTTCCACCCGGCGCTCCCGGCGGCCCTGCCAATGGGGGAGGGGGTCTGCTCCCTGGCCTGGCCCGCACCCCGCAGCGGCTCCAGGGCCGCGGGTGTGAGGGGCGGGCCCAGGTCTTGGCCCGCGCCGCCCCATGTGACCCGGTCCGACATGGTGTCGCCTCCTCCCGCGGCGGAGGTGGCGGCGGCTCGGCTGTGTTTCGGGCCGGGCCTGCGGCCGCTCATGAACACCCACGGCCACCCGGGGCCGCCCGGGAACAGCGGGCCGGGCGAGGGCGAGGGCGGGGAGGCGAGGAAACTGCAGGGAGGGAGGGTCGCGAGGGGGAAGCGAAGAAAGGGAAAGGGGAAGGGAAAAGCGGGAGCAGGACAGGGCGGAAGAGGAAGCGGGGCGGAAGGGAAGCCGGGGCTGCAGAAAGCGAAGGAGGCAGCGGGGCTGGGGGCCGAGGCGGGAGCCAGGGCAGGCCCAGGGGAGGAAGGAGAGGGAGGCGGAAGCGTGGAGGAAGGGGCGAGAAGGATCGTGCTGGGAGATGAGGGGAGCGCAGGGGCGGGGAAGGAGGCCAGAGGAAGAGGTGCTGGGAAAAAGGAGGAATGGAGGGTCAGGCCTGGGCGGCGGGAGGACGCGAGGCCGGGGAGAGCGCAGGGACGAGGGGGTCAGGCGTGGGGCTGCATCGCGGGGGCTGGGGCGGCGGGGGTGGCCATGGCGGTAGCCGCCGAGGAGGAGGCGGCGGCCCGGGAGCCGGCCGGCCGCCCCGCTGCGGGGCCGGCGCTCTTGCGCCTGCCGGAGGAGCTGCTGCTGCTCATCTGCTCCTACCTGGACATGCGGGCCCTCGGCCGCCTGGCGCAGGTGTGCCGCTGGCTGCGGCGCTTCACCAGCTGCGACCTGCTCTGGCGCCGGATAGCCCGGGCCTCGCTCAACTCCGGCTTCACGCGGCTCGGCACCGACCTGTAAGCGCCCGCTCACCCGCCCGCTCCCTGCCCCGGGCCGGCCCGCGTCCCGGGAAAGGGCGGGGCGCCGCGGCCTGGTCGGCCCGGGGTTGTGTCGCACCCCGAATGCGAGGCCCAGACCCGGCCTCGGCGGGGACCCCTCCCCGAGCGCCCCTCTCCTGTCGGAGGTCCCCCTCCGAGAAAGCCTCCCAGGAGCATCCCTCAGTCGATACCCTCCTTGGGCGGCTTCTCACAATTAGCCATCTTAAGCACTGCCTTCAGCTTGTAATTGTCTTCCCTCGCAGACGGTGACTGGCCAGGTGCCTCAACCCCCCAGGAGCCAGGGTGGTCTGAGGCTTCGGACGCCTTCTCCGGTCCAGGTGTAGGACCCATATCCACTATGTAGTCCATCAGAACGTTTTTATGGGTATTCATCCGCTCACTCTCTTCTGAAGGTTGTTAGGCTGCAGGGCTCAGGTGAAATCGAATATGGAGAAAAGGGCTCAGACCTGAAAAGAAGGCTCCTGGTCCAAGTGTCAACTGTAGTTTGACTTGATACAGGCAGAACGACACAAAAAAGGGTGCCTGCTTATGGCAGGGGACTGGATTAGGTCTAGGTGGTATAGAAAGGCGTGGTATTGCAGTTTGGCCTGTTTTGGGTAGGATCTGAGACCTGTGCATGGAAAACTGACTTGAACGATTTGAGCTGTTAAATAGGAAGGGGGAAAAAAAAGAATTGGGTGAGTAAAAGCTTTTAGATTGCACCTAAAATTCCATCCAATTAGGGTTTTAAAAAAGGTAATTCTAAAACAGTATAACAACATTAAAGAGTTTTTTAAAACATAAAACGCTATAATACCATTACCTTTAGACAACTATTCACTATTTAAAATTACTTTTCAGTTGTATACTTTTCCCCCCCTCCCAGTTGCTGTTTTACTGATCCTGACAGAATAGGTGCATAATAAATGTTTGTAAACTCTACCGTAATGAGATTAAAAACATTCTTCTGATATTAAACTTTCATGTTGTGTCTAGATTTTTGCTATTATGGATAACAGTGAAACAAAGCATTTTTGGGTAACAGCTTTTGATATATGTCACATACCACATATATGCCTTTTTATTTTTATTTTTTTGAGTGATTTTCTTTTTTAAATTTTTTATTAACATAATGTATTATTTGTTTCAGGAGTACAGGTCTGTGATTCATCAGTCTTACACAATTCACAGCGCTCACCATAGCACATACCCTCCCCAGTGTCCATCACCAGCTACCCCATCCCTACCACCCCCCCTCCACTCCAGCAACCCTCAGTTTGTTTCCTGAGATTAAGAGTCTCTTATGGTTTGTTTCCCCCTCCGGTTTTGTCTTGTTTCATTTTTCCCTCCCTTCCTCTATGATCCTCTGTCTTGTTTCTCAAATTCCTCGTATCAGTGAGATCAACATACGCCTTTTTAAATTAGTTCCTTAGGATAAATGCTCAAGATTGGCTTTATTGGATCAAAGGTTATGGTTTGTAAAATTGTACTAAGTTACTGTGGCACCAGCAAAGAATGATTAAGCCAGTTGCATATGAAAATTTAAAAATCTGTTTTAGTTGGGCATATGATTGTATCCCAAAGTTTTATTTTTTTGCCTTTTTTTTTACCACTGACCCCAATAAATATTTTCCCATGTGTTTGTTTCACCTGTGAGATTGTCTATACCTAGTCTTTGCCCATTTATTATTGGGATTTTGATGTTTTTCTCATATATTTGGAATCCTGTGGGTCATAGATATTAGGGTCTCATCTGTCATCTTTGATGCAAATATTTTCCCCAGTCCTTTTTACTTTACTGTTTTTAGCCTATAGAAGTTTTACACTTAAATATATCAGAATCTGTCAGTCTTTTGTGATTTTTTTTCTTTTTTTACCCCAAAACTGAGAAATTTACAATTTCTCCACAGACCTGATGAATCTTCTTTTTGATATTCTGCTGGTTTTCTTATATTTGATTTTTTAAAATAACACTTTCATCAATATCAGTTTTGTTCTGGTGCAAGGGTGAATTTAACTTTTTTTTTTCCCTAAGTGGCTACCTAGTTATCACTGTACCTTTTGTTAAATAATTCTTCTCTTTCCCTTTGTTTTAGAAAGCTTATATTGCCAATTATTAAGTTTATGTGTGTGTACAGACACACACACACGTATGTATGTACATCTGAACTCCATTTTGTTCCATAGATATATTTTTCCATTTTTCTACTGTTTTAAATACTGTTTTTTGGTAGAGTCTGGTATTGATTAGGGTTAGATTTATCCTTGTTGTGTGTGTGTCAGGTCTCCACTCCCATTCAACTCCCCAGCAGAAAAAGATCCTGTGCCTTTTCAAAAGTTTCTGTGGTTTTCACTGTAAAGTTTCTCTCTATATATATAGTCAAATTTATTCCGAAGTAGTCCTGTATGTGTGATGCATTTTGTTTTTATTGTGAATGCAGTCTCTTTTTCAGTATTTTTTTCAGCTGGGTGTTACTAATGGTGATGTACAAGATTACTATAAGCTTTTGTAAATTTTGAACCTGATTATTTTGCTTAACTTATATTCTAGTATGATTTTGTCTAGTTATCTAGTCAGGTTTGTTATCTAGTATGATGATAATGATTCTTTGGGATCTTTTGGCATGCAGTCTTGTTACCTTCATTTCTTATAAGAAAAATTCTTTCAAAGGACCTATCAGTTGACCTTTAAGGGAAGTTGGCTAAAGTGACTGAAACCCAAGCCAGCTAAGGCAAAGCTTGGCTTTCTTTCCTTATAGAGATTGAATGAATGAATTGATGTTTATTTTTCTTTCCTTTTCTAATGCTCTAAAAGAGAGATAATGGGAATGAGTGTTCGTTCTGTGAGCAAAAACAACAAAATGAAAATGAGTTTGTAGTATAAAGTGCTTTGAGACTGTTAAGTGATACGGCTTTATTATTTATTAGCCATGTGTGTTTTGATTTCTTGCCCATGTCCTAGGATGGGCTATCTCCGACCTTCTAGGGAAGTTGTTTTACCACAGCATTTGATAAAGAGCAGGGTCACTGTTCATGTTTTCTGAGTTGAGGGGAGAAGTTATGTGTGTTACAGCAGGTGGAGAGAATGTTTACCAGTGTGGCCTGTTTCTGGACAGCTGCAGAGACGTGATAAGCCACCAAGAGAGGTGTTGTCATCCCTGGAGGGAGACAGCATACACCCCAGTCCTCGTAGGGCATCAGAGAGCCTGGGCCCAAAGTATGAGACTGTGGCTGCTCGGATAGTGGCAGGGCTGTAGTGTATGGTTTGGGCTAATTAACTGCAGACTGGACAGTGGGATGTTTTTATGAGCACAACACAAAAGTTCATTTTATCAGAAGTTACACAGCCTCACTGGACCTGAGTTTTATCATCTATAAAGAGTGGGAAAGACCTACCCAGTAAAATGAGGCTTAAATGTGCAATTGTGTACAGAGTTAAGCACATAGTAGGCACTCAATAAATTGTTGTAAAATGGAACTTTTTAATTGCTTGGCTTGTCTAGTCAGTTTGTATTTAGCAAAAGAGATGGTTTGAACTGGAGGTGCTGCTGAAAGACAGGAGGTGGGGGAAAACACACACACACACACACACACACACAGAGCGCTTAGTTTCTCTCACCTGTCCTGAATGCTTTTGGAAGCATGACAACAGAACCTGTGGGTCTAGGATCTGCACTCCCTGCTATAAGATCCTCTTGATTCTCAAAAACACGAACTGCTAAGGTTTACTGACCTTCCGGCCCAGGGCAAGTCCCTTTCAGTTTGGCTGTTCCTAACTGATCATAGCTTTGTTGAGTAAGATAAACTGCTTTGGTTCCTTGTGATTTGTTAATGGTCTTATACTTGTGCTTGAAGGCATTTTGGCCACTTTTAAAACCACAAACAAATAACTTGCTTCCCTTTAGGCCTCTGGCCCAAACAGTGAACATGGGTAGGTATCTGAGCTTTTAAAAAAAAAAAAAAAAGTGAACACAAAGACAGTTTGAGTCAGTCATCTGGTTTAAAATCAGTTTTCTTTGAAGGTTTTATGAAGCCTGGGGGGAATAGAAATATCTTTAATATAAAAATCAAGGAAATGTTTCATATAGCGGTCTTTTAAGTTTTCCCTGAAGAGTAAGGGGGAAACTAACATGGTTCAGTCTTCAGGAACAAAACAATTTAACCCTCCCAGTTTATAATGAAGGCTAAATGCAAGAAGTAGACAGACAATATGACAGGTGGAAGAGCAGAGGTGCTATCTGTAAGTTCTAATACTGGAAATGAACAAGGGCAAAGAACAGAATACAGTATACCTGTATATATAATCTAAGGGTTTTTTTAAAGATACTTCTGCCAGTCTCATGTTAATTCCTCCCAAATTAAGTCCTATGTTTTCAAACTTCAATTTTATTTTAACCATCCTTTGAGCAATACCTGGGTGCTCCTTTGCATTTACTTGTGGTAGATTTGCCTAGAATTAACAATAGGTGTTTAGGAAGTAAGGCTCTGAGGTGTTTGCCCTGGCATGTACATTCATTCCTCAGCCAGGGTCTTGCAGGCTTGGAGCTCTTTGAGGCTGGGGAGCAGGGTATCTATTTCAGTGATGATTAACGTCCAGAGTAGTGAGATGGACACAGATAAGCAGAGTGTGTTTGTTTGTTTTAAAATGATTATACCTAAGAGCATTTTTTTGGCCCAGAAAGCATAAAGTTTCCTTTCCTAACTTTGACCTGGAGAAGGCATTGCTGCCTGGTTGCATTTAAGGTCTGAACAGTGATTTTCAGAAAACAATTAGCAACTTAAAGTAGCTTAGGCTCTCTCCTTCGCCTTTCTGCCTTACCCAGGAAGGGGAGTCACTTACTTGTTCTCTAATTGATTGAAAAATTTCATAGGTGGGTGTATTTCTCTTTAGCTGTTATGAAAAGGCCTTATTTTTAATCATTTTGTGAGTTAATAAACGTTGAGTTCAATTTACAAGCTTAAAATAAATAATACACCTG